GCCTCTAGTAGTTTTATAAACTCCAAAATACTAATTTAACCAAAATTAGTGGGGCAAGACTCAGGGTGGTGTAAGAGAGCTAAGTCCTCTCTGTCAGAGTCGCAGTCAAAGGTGGTGAGTAAAACTGACCACTCAGGAGAGCGCCACACACTCTTATTTAGAAGTTGTGGAAGTCATACCAAATAACAAACAAACAAATGAGCCAAAAGAGCTGAAAGCAGTTGAAGGGTGGAGAACAGGTCTTTATTACATAGTCAATGAGACATTTCTTCTTCATGGAAAACTCTTACCTAAAGATGAACATCAATTCTGATATTCTATTACAAAGTGCCTTAATTCTGTACTTTAAAAAGTAGATTATCATGTTCTTGTTAAGCATTTAATATCAAAAGGTAAAGAAATTCCTCCCATCCTACCCACTTCATCACAGGCCTGCCAAGTCCTCTATGCCAAGATGAATGGACCAGACTAGACACTCCACTGGCCTGAATAAAATATATACTATCTCTAAGCTGCCAATGGATTCTTTCAAAAGTTCCTGGGCCAGTTATTTGAAATATGAGAATGTTTTTTTTCTGCATTACCCCTATCCCAGGAGATATGTTTTAGATGATTACTTATCACAGGATTATGGATTCTGCTCCTGTGGACTGAAGGTTCCTCGACTCCTTGGGTCGAGGAGGAGGGAGATTGGATGGGGGGAACAATAAGTTAGATGTAGGTTATTGTTAAGACTGAGCTTTTGTGTTGGATGGTGGGTTCATGGGTACTTATTCACAAAATTATATTTATGAAAAAGTAAACAATAAAAACAGGACCATTGATAAGAATATGTCATGAACCAAAAATTATTAACTCATTTCTACATACCAGAAACCCAATGGAGACAAAAAAATCTATTAACCCAGAATCCTGCTTAGCTCATGATAATTCAGATGGCACATTGCCTATATATTCATCCATTACGTGCAATGAATATTTATTAAATATCTCCTAAGAAGTAAGGCATTAAATAGGTCCTAGGGTTACAGTAATAAATAAAGGTAGGGCCCAAGACCTGTGGGTATTAGAGAATCACCTTTATCTTTCAGAATTCAGAAATTATATTTAAATATTTAGACAATTTCAAATGTTTTTAAAACATTCACACAGCAGTTCCCTCAAACATCTCATATAATTATTAACAAAAAGGAAGGCAACAGTAAAATGGATTAGGAAAGTGTGTGTGTGTGTGTATATATATATATATTATTGTTGACACTTGTGAAAGTAGATTTAATTGGAAGTTCCAAAAAAGTCCAAGCAATTTTGATAATGCTGGTCCTTCCCTTTCCCTTGACACGCATGCCCTTGAGCACCGCTTTAAGCTTATTAGTCAAGATTAGGGACATATTTAGGTCATAGATATAGTGGTACATGTTAATACTGAAAAAATAATTAAAGTCTCTAGATTCTCTCCATAAAGCAATATTTTCCCATTATTTCTTGATTCTTCATTTTTTACACACATTCTTTTCCAGGGTTTCTCTCTAGTTCTCTTGAGTTGCTTTCTTTCATTCTAAAAATATATCTGAGTGCCTTGATTACAAAACAAGTTTTAGCCCAGAGGTATTCTGGTTTAAACCATACTCTCCACAGCTCACAGGCCACACACACACTCACCCCACATACACCTGACAGCTGCACAGTCAGCAGTCTCAGACCTGAAGTTCATGGTCATACATCAGGGCCAAGGCTTCACATGGGCTCATTCAGAGAAAATATACTAACCCTGAAGTTACAACTTTGCCAGGGGCTGGGACCGCAGGTAGGTGATGCCTGGTTCCTGGCCTCCAAACTCATAACCTCATCCCCCAGAATAACAATGCTATAGGAAATAGCAAGGTAGTTAGAGGGAAGAGCGAAGAGGAAAATTTCTCATTATTTGAGAAACACTAACATAGCACTTACTCTTTGCCAGCTCTGTTCTAAGTGCTTTACAAATATTAACCTGTGAGGTAGATACTATTATTCACATTGAAACATGAAAAGATGGAGGCCAGAGAGGTTAAGTAACTTGTCTAAGATCACACAGCTACAAGATGATGAATTTGATCCAAGCAGTCTGGCTCCAGAGTCTGTGCTCCTAATTATGACTCTCTGCAACCTCCTTGAGCCTACTCTCTACCTTTCTAATCCTGCGATAATTAATAATCTGTTTTCATTATCGAAGTAATAGAGAGTGTGGGTGGGGAAAGGGCTTGGGCTAAGCCCAGAATCTACCTTTCCAGGCAAGCAGAGGAGCAGAAGCTAGAACAGGGGAGTCAGGGAAGGAGGGTGTGGGTTCAAGATCTGTAGAGTGAGAATCTGGTTCTCCCTGGCCAGACATGCTTGGGGATGGATAATGCTGGTAGCCAATGTGGAGAGAGGTGATTCCAGGCCTGGAGGCCATTCATAAATAGGAAATAAGCCAGAAGTAGAGGTTAAAGTCTGTCTGAACTGATAAGAGGACTCTGTGGATGGAGCACATTGGAAAATGAGCCAAATCACTGTCATCAGAGAAGCATATAAATAGCATTAAGACCTTGGCCTCTTTTCCCATTCAACTCAGTGAATGTTCATAAAGGCCTACTGTGAGGAAAGGATCACATTAGACAGAATAAAATAAGGATATGGCCCAGACTTTTCTCATCTCGATGAGCCTTTACATTGAACTTGACTGTGGGCGTGATAGGCATGAGATGTTTGGAGGGGACCTCAGCCACCAAGGCCCCTTGAGAGCGCCGTCAGCACAGTCTGCAAGACTGAGAGCAGCAGGGCTTCTGGGAACCTCCACCAGATGGAGGGAAAAATAAATGGGGGCGGGGGGGAGGGGAGCAAAGCAGCCAATATTAGTCAAGATAAAAGAAATCCACAATAGAAGGTCAGCCACTCTAAGAATAACTGCCCTGCAAAAACAAAACCAGGCCAAATATAACGTCTCCTACCCCAGCCAAAAGCATCTGCCTTTTGAAGTTAGTGTTATGTTCCGGCTTTGTTTTGTGTTTTTTCTCCTTTATCCCCTAAAGGTTCTTCTAAGGTAGGCCATTCTCTGTGAGAAGATATATGTGAACAAGGTTTCATTTGACATCTGTTTTCCAACTATTAAATTTGAGGTGGTTATTTTTAGAATAAAAGACCATTTAAGAAATAATTAGGTGCCCATAGATGACACAGACTAGATAGTTTTAAAAAATTTTAGGGTTATGTCTAAAATAATTCAGACTGATTGAAAAGTAGGAGAAAATAAGTTAGATTTGAAGTTTATTAAAATGACCAAATATTTAAAAATCAGCAATATAATGTATCTGCGTGCACCTCAATTTCCCCATTTGCATGCTGTACTGCCGTTTGCAAAACATGGCTCCCCTGACCCTCCCAGCCCCCGAGCCTGGGAGCCAGCTTGAGCAGTTGGGTTTCCGGGAGTGGTGATGTGGTGATGGATTTGCTATGATCCACCCTCACCCTTTCTCCTGTTTCCACCCATGATGAATGGACACCATTACAAGATGGTGACTGGGGTTAGGAGTGCACCTGGGAGAGCTCACCTCCAAGGGGGAATCAAACGCTAGACCTTGGCCTCTTTCGTGTGATGCTTTACCCCGACTGAACCAATCAGAAAAATAAGGATGCTTATCACTGGCTTGCCAAATGGAAGTGCTGTGAGAATGTATTTTTTAAAAAGAAGGAGAAGGATGAAGAAAGATGTTAGACGCTTTGCTTTCACAGTAAAAAAGCTTTACTTTCAAATGCCAGCTAATATTACTATAAATCAGGAACTGAGGCAATGGCATAAAAGCTGTTTCTGTAAGTCAACAACTGGCTAGAGACTACATGTGTCTACAAAATAGGTTTCGTAAGATCATGCTTATTTTAGAAACATCAATACTAAAACAGCAGTAACGGAAAGTGTTTTTCCCCTTAGTTTAAGCACTGCTTGAATATGCATTATACCCAGCCAAGCAATAACTGAACAAATTCCTTTCTTAAATGTCCCCAAGTTCAAGTATATGGCTTCGAGCACACCACAAGCTTTATAAAACAGCCTAGCTTTAAGTGTGCAATAATCGCTCATTTCCTGGCCATTAATTCAGACATCATGCAATCAGTCAAAGACATCCATTTTCCTCTGCTGCTATTTTGGGGACTGCTGCCCTATTGTCATCCCTGCCTGAGACCCCTGACTTAGTCGTCTTTTAATTAGAGCCACCAAGAATGACAGGCGGAGCCAGCCTACTGAGGGTGATCCATCACATGGCTCATTTTGCTCCCTGGCCTCGTAAATGACAGTGTATAAACAGGACATCTTGGATATCAAGATAGCTGCTTAAGGAAACAGAAGAACAAATGGTGACCACCTTGTAAGCTCCTTCCCTGTGATTATAAGCTCTAGTCTAGGGCTGTATTTACTGACACAGTATTTTGATTAATCATCCAAATAAACTTTACCAATGATGATGCTATCGAAGATGTTTTCTCTAAGCTTGCCCTTAAACAAACTGATGTCATAACCTAACACTTGTCCAAGGCATTGATTCAGACCAGTATACTTACACTGAGCAATTGGGACAATTTTTAATGGAACTGCTTTTTAGCTAAATCCTTTCCATGTTGGTCAACAGCTATAGTCCCAGTCCTAGAAAATAAAATAAAAAAAATCAACTCAATACTGGTAGGCTCTTTCTTTGTCATTACAGAAAGCACTACAAATTAGCCTACAGATTGTTACTATTCAATTATATTTTCCAGGTAAAGTTAAAGGAGTTCTTTATGCCTGATTCAATATAACCTTATTATTACAGAGAGAAGATATATAAGACCCAAAGTTATGTTAGGCTGGAACTCAACTCTATACCTATGTGGTGAGCCAGAGAAATGGAGTCTGGAAGTGATGAAGGTCAAGAGGTAAATACTTGGTACTACCTTCCTGGGCTCAATGATTTGCCCATGTCTGGGAAGGTGCATGAAGTTTTGGTCCTCACACTCAATATCTATATATGGCCAGAAAGTTAGATGAAAGGCAACTAAAATAATCATGTGGATGAAGCAGTTTTCATAAAAAAGAAGACTTAAAAAGTTAAGACTCCCTACCCAATAAAGTCTAAAAGGGAAACTGTATTAATGCCTGTGAAATTAAGATAAATAATGAGTAGGCTACCATGATATACTTGCTCATCAAATCCAAGAGATCAAATTCAGATAAAATCCAGCCAACCAGGGCATTTCACATTAACCCAAAACTTGCAGAACCTCCAAACAAGGGCCTTGGAATTTGTATTTTAACAAATGTCTCAGATGGTTCTTATGCTTAGGCAAATTTGGAAATAACTAAAAGTAGAGGCTGCAAACTCCTGGGATGAGCAATATTCATTGCAAAAATGTTCTCACCTGTCCTGCTGTTTGTCTTACATGTGCCAATTATCAGTACACAGGACAGCTCGGATCCCCCCAGAGCATGGCTGGGGCTATTTATGGATAACGCAACTGACCCAGAGCTCACCAGCCTCTTCAGCCCAGGGAGACAATAAAGGTTCAAGCAACAGTGTTTGACTGTGATGAGCTCAGCCTCCTTCAAAATGCACCTATGGTTTCCCGAAGTTCTCGCACAGGAACATGATCATTTGAAGTCTTCTTCTCAAGCCACAGGCCATTGAAGGCAGTCACCACAGGGCAGCTGCAGCTCCTGGTGGCCTCCTGGGTTCCCCTCCCCCCCCTCTCTCTCTCAATGCCCTTCTCTAAAGCCCTATCCTTCCTTCAGACTTCAGGACCACAATGGCTGGAGGAAGGGGCTGGGACTTGTGCTACATTCCCATTCCTGGGTTTACTTTTCCAGGACTGCACTGCTAAAGGCAATCCCCCTAAAAGGACTCGATTTTTACCTGCTTGTCAAAAAATTTATTTTCATATTCACAAGTATCACATTAGGTAATATTCCCAAGCACATAAAAGATATTTTTAAATATGTTTATTTTTCAATTACAGTTGACGTTCAATATTGTTTTATATTAATTTCAAATATACAGCATAGTGGTCAGACCATTATATAACTTACAAAGTGATCCCCCGATAATTTTTGCACACATCTGGCACCATGAAAAGTTATTACAATATTATTGACTATATTCCCTATGCTGTACTTTATATCCCATGACTATTTTGTGACTGCCAATTTGTACTTCGTAATCCCTTCACCTCTCTCACCCAGCCCCCTAACCCCCTGGCAACTCTCAGTTTGTTCTCTATATCTATGAGTCTGTTTTTATTTTGTTTGTTCATTTATTTTGTTAAAAGAGAGAATTTAAAAAAAAACATATCTAGAATATAAATTGTTTTGTCAAATTTCAGCTTGATGGCATTTGAAATACAGAATCAGTCAAATGATGGGGCTTCTGCATCCTAGGAACCACTGGGGAAAGAGCATGCCTTTCCTGGCACTTGCATAAGCCAACAGCAAATGGAAGACATTTACAGCTTAATGAATATGGTACGTAGCTGTTTCTAAAATGTACTTGCATTTCAATAATCTGTATTAAGTGAATATGTTCTAAGTAAGAGCTCAATTGAACTAGAATCATAAATACAACTGCTTCACAAACCAAATCCAAAGCTCCAAAGGTTTCAGGTGAGTGTAGAACCTTCATTAGTCTGAGTCAAATTTGATCCCTTGTTTTTTGGTCATTTCACTGCTTGCTAAAACTGTCAACAAAATGGGGGTTTAATGGGGGGGGGGATGAGGACACATTTGTAATACCTTAACTAATAAAGAATTAAAAAAAACTGTCAACAAAAGGCAGAGGAAAGACCCCAAATCAATCAATGACAGATGTTGATTTGCTACATAGAGAACCCTACAGTCTGAAAAGTCTGGAAGGACCCCTTCCTGGGTAATGTAGACCAAGAGAAGTTTCTGCTGGGCAAAACATTCTCATATGCTAAACAAGTGCATCAACGGTAGACATTCTGTTTACAACTTAATTAAGTTTACTTACTAGTCAACATCAGGGTCAATTTACTACAGCCACGTGACTCCTCAAGAGAATTACATGAGTTTCATAAAGGGAAAAGAAGTCATCGCCACAGAGCCACTCCCCTGCTCAACCTGTTATCTTCAAAACACATATTGCCCTCATGTGATGAGTGTGTAGGTCTTTGATAATGATAATTCTCCTACTCAGATGCTTGCCCAGGATTGGGGTGTGCTCACCCTATCACTTCTGTTTCTCCATATGATTAAAGTCTGGCCACTGTGATGTGGATCTTTATTTAGAAAAGGGAATAGTTCTCTAAAGATGTCAGCCCTAGTCATAGGTACTGATCAACCACTTTTCATTATTCAACATTTTGTACCACAAGACCCTTTTCAAAATAAATTATGAGACAATATATTTGTTCATCTGGTGTGTTTTGGGTCCTAGACATACATCAATGTTATTCTCTTTTCCCCCTTCAATTCATTGGATAATAGATCTTAGTGTTGAAATGCTTCTTTCAATTAAACTTGCAGTAGATCTAAAGATTCAGGATTGTAAACTCATTACAATGGGAGTAACATAGGAGAACAATACCATTGCTGGTGGCCCTGGGTACCCAGATGTAAAGGGGGGATTCCTTATAACAAGTTTCAAATTTAATCTTTGTGTGAGAGGATTCAATTCCTATGAAGAAGACAGAATCAAACATCAAAATGCAATAAAAGGAACTCTGAGCATGTAAAATCAGTAGTGGTGAAATATTTAATAAAAGCCAAATATTGGACTTGGGGAAGAAGACTTTGTTTCTATTGTGACCTGTTGGGGGTGAAATGGAACCCCCAGTCCTACGTTGAGCCAAACAACAGAAAGTGGCCACATAATCCAGCTCAGACTGTGGTGAAAGACAAGCTTGGGGGGTTGGGGGAGGAAGGGAGGAGTGTTCATTCCCAGACTATTTTACCTGATTATTTAAGCCCAACAACTAGGGTTGCCCTATTTAGCAAATAAAAATACTGAATGCCAATTAAATTTGAATTTTGGATAAGAAATAATTTGTTAGTATAAGTATGTCCCATACAATACTTGAGATATACTAAAAATATATTCTTTCTTTATCTGAAATCCAAATTTAACTGGGCATACTATAATTTGTTTTTGTTAATTCTCATCCAATGATATTTTTTCATTGATTTTTAGGGAGAGTGGAAGAGAAAGGGAAAGACAGAGAGAAACATCGATGTGAGAGAAACACATCAATTGGTTGCCTCTTGCACAAGCCCCTACCAGGGCCCAGGCCAGGGAGGAGCCTGAAACCAGAATCCAACCTGGGACCCTTTGGTCCACAGGCTGATGCTCTATCCACTGAGCCAAACCAGCTAGGGCTGGGCATACTATAATTTATCTGTTAACTCCACCAGTTCACTGCCACAAAAGGAGACCACATTTGAGTCTAAGATAAGAAACAAAATTTGAACTAATTTGTCTGGTTCAATATTACCTGAAGACCAAGAGTCCTAAAGCAGAGAGCAGAGATTTGGTACAAAAGAAAACCTCTTGTTTTTTCCTTAAAATAGAAGGACATTGCATGTTGTGATGGTGGTTTTACTTTTGTTAAATTTCCTTGAGTTCATATAAAATCATAATCCTTTGCATTTGTAGTAGCCTGGGGAAATAAGAATGTCATCCCTATGGGAGTTTATGTGCATTTCTAACAAGACTACAGTGACAAAGGACTAAGTACATACCACAGTTGTATTTAACAAGGGAAAATAGGATTGTCAGTGTGGCCCTTATGATTCGAGATGGGCAACCTTAAGGTGGGTTTATTTATTGTTTGGGGTTTAAGGTTTGGTGTGTCTGTGGAAATGTGTGCATTTGAGAGTGCCTCTGTTATAATAAGGTAAATCTCAGAGACGCATTGAACAGTGCACTGATAAAAACAAATTATTTTAAAAATTCATGATAAAAGATTTATATGTATTTTTTAGAATGCAGAATACATATATCTCTTTTTATAAATAGCAACCTGTAAGGACACAGAACACATTTATTAACTTGTACTAAAAATACCAAGGTGACTCAAGATCAAAAGTTATCATATATAATTCATTCCCAAATACACCGACTATCTTTGAGACGAAGGAAATTACCCAGCCACCTACTATACTTCTTGGATATTCTGATGTTTTTTAACATATATAAAATCCTCTTCTTTCTCATTATGCACAGGAAATCAGAAACTGATTCCAAAGTAAAAGATTGAACTTCTTTATTACACACATTAGTCTCTCTTTATTTATCTAGAAATCTCTTAAGCACAAGAACGTCTCTTTGTTTTTTATGTCCCTGCAACCGGGCAGTGCCTGACTCACCATAGATGCTCAGGAATTATGCTCAGTGGATGAATCAATGATTCCAACAAGATTTTTTGGAAAATAATTCAATACTAAAAGGTGTCAACTGCCTTTTAGCATAGGTTTTATTGGGTAAGACTTGAAATGAGGTATGTGTGTTTTTTAATCTCCATAGTTGGGGTCTAAGAAAAGTGACGTCAAGCCCTAACTTGGCTTTAGCTTCCAGCCCTAAGACCTCCAAAAGGCGCGCTGGCTTTCTCTGCATCCAGGAAGGGCCCCGTTTGCTTCTGCGGGAGCAGAGCAGCAGAGATTCCTGCATCTGTTCGTGTCTTCAAGGAGCCTGACCATGAAAGCAGGCAGCTTACTTACCAGCTCTTGTTACAAATACCATTCTATCAAAAAAAACCAAACACGTTATTTTTATTCCTTTATAATCTAACTCCAAATAAAATGAAATATATAAAAAATGAAATATAAATTAAATGTGAATTTCTTCCATAGCACAGTGATAATAACGCTGTTGTGTCAGTGGCACACTGCAGATAAAGAACAGGGAATGAAATAAACCATGGGCCTCTCTACCCACACCTGCATTACTGACGCCTTCGTAAAAGACAAGGGAGAAAGGACAGAGTATTACGCACTCAGCACCATATTGGAAAGCATTATGTACTCATTTTACAAATGAAGGAACTGACTTTGCAAAACTAGGAAGCAGCAGTGCTAAGATTTGAACCCAGGTCTGACTGATGCCGAATGCTGCACTTTTGCTAAGGTATCATGATGTTCCCCCTACACCAAGGGCAGATGGCTTGCAGCAGCCCATCACTGCTACTGCCTAGTCAATTAGTACACATAGCTGACTATGAGTGGATAAGGGGTGTCATTGCCTATTTGAAAGGACAGCAGATAATTCTATTCTTTTATGGAATGAGAAGTGCCAAAGTTAGGATGAATCAGTTCTCACTAAAAATTTCAATGGAGCACACAAGATCAGATTAGTACAAAAAGAATAAGATACATGACTTCTTTCATTGTTAAATTTGGATTTCTGTCCTCTGCATTTTTCATGCTAGCTTGCTGAAACATCAAGGTTAATGTCTCAGGAACCTTCCAATTCCTCAATGACCTTTATCCCAATTATCCTTCCATACAACACCTGCTTCAGAAAAATTAACCTTCAAAATTCCCCTAAAATGGAATTTTCCCAAAGATCTGTATCCCATTCCACTCACTTCTTGAGTTAAATATGCTCAAATGTCCATGCTGTCACAAAGGGTAAGATTTCCTTCTTTTTTATGGCTGAGTAGTATTCCATGGTGTAAATGTACCACAGCTTTTTTATCCACTCATCTACTGATGGGCACTTGGGCTGCTTCCAAATCTTAGCTGTTGTAAATAATCTGCAATGAACATAGAAGTGCACGTATTTAAAGCTGATACAAGTCATCTAGAATCTAATTCTACTCAATGGCACACAGAAACAATGGGAATGCATGTATAGACAAGATTGTCTGTGAGTGCATTATTGTTGAAGCTGGGCAATGAGCACAGGGAGCTCACTATAGTATTCTCTTTGAATTTTTATATGTTTAAAATTTGGCATAATAAAAAGTTTTTTAAGTACCATATGTAAATAGTCTAAAGTAAAAGAGAAATCAAGATCTGGACATGTGAGCTAAAAATAGATGTCATGTAAAGAGCGAGCAGAGTTGGTAAAAGCTACAACTCAGCTTAAAGAACAACATTCTAAAACTCTATGCAAGAAGTTAATAAGAAAATAATGTGTGATAAGACATGTTTGATGAGACATAAATAATCAATCATACAATAAGGCCATGAAGTTCCTGGAGCTGGAAGAGGAAAGCAATACACGGACCACAAGGCAACATGTACCCAACTAGAGCAGAAGAAGAAACTGGAGACCTCAGTCTGGAGAAAATAGTTAGCAAAGAGAAATAGAAGAACAATGAGGATCTGAAACCAGGAAACAGACAGTGACGTGAAGACGATGGGACAAGTTATAGAGATAATTCATAACAACAGTTGGCAGTACTTGATGTTGGGATGAGAAAGAAAGAGGAGCCAAAGATGGCTCAATTCAGTACAACAAATATTTACGGAGCTTGTCTCAGTAAACATTTACATGGTCTCAAAGACCTGCAGTCTAATTGAAAAGCTAAATAATTAAAACAATTTACTATATACAAGTGTTTTATAACAGACATTAGCATGAAAGTTGTAGGAGATCACAGACGAAGGAGCAACTATATAGATGGTGATATTAACTGAGATGGGGAAACACTGGAGGAACCGCAGGTTAGAAAAGACTGTAGAATTTAAGATGCTTATGGGACATCCAGTTGAATAGGTTCAATAGGAGGTTAGACATAGAGTTCATATATCAGCATATAGCCAACGACTTTTAAAATAAATGGATTAGCTAAGTGTGTTGGAAGACAATTTTTAAAATGCCATCTTTATACTTTGGGCCTATAGATATAATTTGATTTTATCAACATCTTCATCAAGTTAAAAAAATTTTATTTAAATCTTGCCTGAATGCTAAGTAAACAAACTTCCAATTTAATGCTACTATAAAGATTTGCCTAAATCATCTGAACCTAATGTCAAATTCCCTGATGCACCATTTAAGTGCATCATTTAAGATAAATTAAAACAACTTCTTTGTAAATGCTTGCCTCACTGCACTTATCAGTATAGATATAAAACAGCAGCGTGATAATGGCTACCTTCAATGAAAAAAATGTTACTTCAAAAATGGAAATGCAATAAATCTTTGTTTTAAGGGCTATGTAACAGAAGACAAATGCAGCTCTGAATGGCAGTAATTTTCCAAATGAAAACAAATCATATTTCTCTTTAGAAATGTTTGTACTCAATTTCTGAATGCCCTGTCTTAGAATTTATTGTTTTCTTGCAAAGTAGGAAATTGTGAAACTGTCTCTAAAGTTCATTTATCAATTGGTCCAAATATATGCATAGAGCAATGACTCTGAAGTGTCTGCAACATTTGCTATGTATGGTTAAGCTGTAACACACAATTTTCAACATCAGTTGACGTCATCAAGAACTCAAAAAGCAAAAAGTGCCATATGGCATAAAGTTCATACTTATAGAAACAAGGGACTACACCATCTACTATTTTTTTATGAGTGTGATTTATTTATTACACTTGAACTATGTGAGTCATACTGGAGAAGCAATTTTTGAAATGTATGGTGCCATAAGCTAGTCTGCAGGGAAATCTTCTGGATTTTAACTTATATTTATAAAAGAAATTTGATAGGAATTTTTTAAAATTTGACAATCATAAAAACTTACTGTTCATGAATTATAAATCTGAAACATTACCAAAAGATCAATGAAAAATAACTTATCAACCACAGCTAGAGAAAAGAACGAATTATCTTTCTATAAAAACTATTACAAATTGTTATGTTAAGAAGTGGCCGTCTACTATTTAATCACCACAATTATTTTCTTAGGTTGAGAAAGAAATCCCATATTACCAATATACAATATATAAAATTTAAGCAGGCTATGAGATATCATTGAACATTTGCATATGAACTTCTTTAATTTATTAGAAAACATAAGAAAAATTCTTAGGATGAGCCATTTTCATCTTATACCTGTCTGCAGATAGTGAGAAATGAAAGGCGATATTCTCCAAAGTAAGCTCGCCAACTTGAACAATGAACTAAAGGTGAGTAATGGTACAGATGGAAAGGTTTATTTACTAGTAACTACCACCTCACCCAGATATGGCATGGAAGGCTGCCTGGAGACCCCCACCCCCTGGAATGCACGTTTTTGTTTTTATCTACGCAACGTGCATGATACAGTACATGACTAAACATAATCCGACTTGATTTGTGCCGCGGTGATTCTCCAAAGAACAAATCTGTAAAATGACAACGTGTGAAAGCTTAACACCGTGATAGAAAATGGCAGTGGCACGGTTCATATCTTAAACTGACAGACTGATGGTGATTATTGCAAGGACAATGCCCTGCATATGTCAAACGATTTGCAAATAATTTATGTCACCTTCCCCTCCATTATTGTTTTTGCAGAGGACATAAACTGTGTCACCAATATTAAACTGTCTGCAAAAAGAGCCGAGCTCAGCTCTCTCCTCTCTGACAAAGCAGAGCCATCTGCACCCAGACAAACATGCATATGGCCATCATTTGTCCAACATCTTACACAGTGTGAAGGTTTTTTACTTGAAATGCCAACCTGGTGGCAGATGATGTATGTGTTTCCTCAGTCCTGTGATTACCAGGCCCGCGCGCCGCGCCGCGCTCTCACCTCATCAGTTCCACAAGCTGCGCTGCAAGGTGCGTGAGGCATTTGCAGCAAGATGGCTTCTGACACGCCACGGCGCAGGCGGCCTGGTGTGAATATCCGGCTCCAGATTTTGTTCCAATCGGGGTCAAAGTCTGACCCGCCGAAATTGGTGTGGGTAGAGATTTAGGACTGAAAAACGGCCATTTGAAAACTGGAATGAATATATTTTGATAAAGGGGAAAGCAGAGGGCGTTCGCTATCCCCCGCTTAACTGCTGTGCCAGATGCCTTGGAAATGGCCCGAGCATTGTTCCTCTGGAAGAGGATGCCGAGGAAGGCGTACTGGTTAGCCCCAGTGGTAAATAGGAAAGGTTACACCTGCAACTAGAAGGTGTCATTAGTTTGGGGGATTTGCCAGTACTCTCGACGAGAGTAGAGGGAATTGTCACCCCTGCAAAATGACATAACAAGGCAGCTCTCCTACAGACCTGTAGCAAGGTTTATAGGGACACTTAAGTAGGATTTTCTTTTATGTATGTGTGTGCATGTGTGTGTGTGTGTGTGTGTGTGTGTGTGTGTGTGTGTACAGAGGATATGCGACCCTAAAATATAATTTCAAAACTATGAAGCTCTTTTCTTTTTAAGAGCTCTGCAGAATCCAGGCATGTGATCCAAGGCAGAATGCATTATTTTTTCTCTTCCTGTGAGCCTCTGTTTTTATTGGGGAGGGAGAAGAAGCAATAGAGGAGAACTGAGTTTAAAATTGTCCCAAAGGGATCTGTTTAGACATCAAATAGCTTTTACAAAACCACACATTTTGATGAGTTACGTGTAAATTCATTAGAAACATATGGACTTAGTTTCCTATAAAATTCACATGGACATAAAATATCTCCCCGAGCTCCTTTATTCAGTGACGGGTGGTCGAGGGACTAGAAGAAGACATGTGATACTTAGTTCTCGTCTTCTGTCATAAACAAAACACTTTTCAAACATGGACTTTGAAAATTCAACCAAATACCTAATTTTATTCTCTCCCCCCCACACACACACACTGATTTTTAGAGAGAATGGAAGGGAGGGAGAGAGGGAGGGAGGAAGGGGGATGAGAGAGAGAGAGAGAGAGAGAGAGAGAGAGAGAGATGAGAGAGACACATTGATTGGTTGCCTCCTGCATGAGCCTGACCGGCCTAGATTGAACCTACAACCCAGCTACGCATCCTTGACCGGGTATCGAACCTGAGACCCTTTGGTTTGTGGGCTGACTCTCTAACCACTGGACAACACCAGTCAGGGCCAAAATACATAATTTTAATTAAAAGAAATAATTGCTCAAAATTAATTTATTAAGAAAAACGTCTCTGTACTTGCCAAATTGAAAACGTATCCCACCTAGGAGCAGTTATGCTTATGGGAGTGAGTGAAATGTAAGCCATCAAGACCATCTTAATAGTGACTCAATGTGATATGATTTCCAGAAACTGAATTCTCTCGATTGAAAATAACAGGCAGTTAACATTGTTTCCATCAATATTTGCCACTTCTGATTACCTGCAGTTCTTTCAATTAATGACAAGAGGGATGAAAATGGAACAGACATATGTTAATAATAAAATTATAGAAAAACAAGCATGATGGATTTTGTGAACTGACATTTGGGGAGTTTGTAAAATGTGGCCAGCAGCCCCTTAGGAACTTACCTTGACAAGTTTAATTTACATGTTTTTAAATGAGCATTGTCAAGGTTGGCAGAGCTAAATAACATTCAGTTTACCCCTCCTCCAGGCTTTTTGTTCTCCTACACCTTAAAAATATCAATGATATGGTTATTAAAGGTCTCTTTTATGCACAGAAGATTTTTGAGAGACTCATTAAATTAGAATTATGAAAATTTAGTCTTTTATTTTTTAAATATATTTTTATTTATTTCAGAGAGGAAGGGAGAGGGAGAGATAGAAACATCAATGATGAGAGAGAATCATTGATTGGCTGCCTCCTACACGCTCCCGCAACCCAGG